GTTGAGATGAAAAAAAGTTACTGGCACGAGAGGGATTCGATGTTCGAGTGGATCGAGGTCACGATAGCTCAGGTGGTAGAGCAGCGGCGTATCTAGCCGAAGGTCGTGGGTTCGAATCTCTCTCGAGTCATTTTTGCCGACGTTTCGACCTATATTCGGGTCACCTTCAGTGCCTAGGTGAATTAAAAAACATGGCAATTGGAAAACTAATACAGATGTAAATGTATACTTTGAAACCAATAAAATACTTACGAAATTCTTGGTTTCAAAGTTTGTATTTTTAATATTTTTTAGTAAGTTTATATTTCTTCTTACATCTCTATTGTATTTTTCCAATCAACATATGTTTTGTAATTCACACAGGCCCTGAAGATGACCCGAATAAAACTCGAAACGCCAAAAAAATGAAAAAGGTGTTTTACTAAATTACCTCATTCATGAGCGATCCTCACGAATCCAACAGTTATTAATCACAGTTTTGATTGGAATTGATAGACCCTTTTCCCAAAGACGGAGCCATTTGTTGGTACACCAGTAGATCTCGGAGCACGAGAATTTATCCCCATAAAATTCTATATCTAAGCAGAATAAAACAAACTGGGATATGTTCCGAATTAGCATAACGCCAAATTAAATAAGTTGAGTATATAAAACAGAGTGACCCTCCACAGAGTATCAAGACATGCAGGAGATGAGAAGAATGAAGAAGCATTTAAGAGAATAATTCAAATCGTACGATGTAAACGAATTATGTATATCTACCGTATTTTTTCCCACTTATATTGGGCAATATTACATCCACGAATAGACTTCGTGCAGGTTATGAATTTATTATAAACCATGTTTCGTGTTCTATCCCACCATCACCTGTTTATTTAACTTTGTTAAAAGCATCGAAGTGTGAAATATTAACTACGTACACCTACATTCTTTATCACGGAAATAAATTTACACTCTGAAGGCAATACAAATCGCCTTACACAGCCCAGATGCTTTCACATGAAGCCACATTAATGCACTAGCTAATCAACTTGACATAATTGCATTTTTAAAGTGTAACGAACTGATATAACCGTTCAGTATAAAAAAGCTCTTACAATAATACTTTGTTTTTTGTACAATAATAATTGTTTTTTGAATAGATAGCACAACACGTTCATCTATTTTCAGTCTAGAAAGCAGTAGAACCCACTGCTCATTAAAATTACTCCATATTTGTGATGTATCACATAATAGCTAGACATTTACGTATTGTAACGCATAAGAGTATTCTATTTTATACACTCACATTCCCTGTCTCTCTCTCTCTCTCTTTCTTCCCCTCCTTTCCTCACTCACACACAAAAAATTAATCTGGCATGAAACAGTTACACAATCAAATTTTGAACTAATAAGAAACAAAAATGCATAAAAAAAGCACATAGTTGCCTTCTGTCGCATATTTTGACAATAGCGATACGGAATAGTTATTCAGCCAATTGAATTATGTGTTTGAGAAAGCATGCTGTTTCGAATCGCGTGAGCCATCGTACTAGAGCCAGTATGCGTGATTGCCAATGCATGTTTCCCAAAAGTCGGCAATAATTGGCAGCCTAACCCGTACTGAAAACTGGAAGAAAATCCTACGTCTGGAAAATTAAAAAGTTTGTTTATACGTAACAGATATGAAAATGAAAATTCATGAGTAAAGGTAAAAGAAGCTTCAAGCTAATAAAACTAATAACTTTTTACAAGTTATGGGAATATGTTGAACGATTCTTTTGCACGTAATTATTTTGTTTAATTGTTATTTGGTTTTAGCGTAGAGTAATAATGCGCCCATTGGACAACTTTATATTCTCCGTTCTTAATGTTTAGTACTCTGGTGAGTCTGTAATCATCTATCTGTGAATTTGATGATTTTCCACCGTTGCAAACGGAATCACTTCCGTCATCATCGTCCCCTTAAGTCCAACAACATCGGAAGAAGAATCCTCTCCTCATACTGTTAGTGAATGTTTTGTTTTTCCCCGCATTTTTGCAGTACCGATCAGGTGCAGTCTACTGAGTGTAGACCTGCCCAGAAAGGTACAATTGGGGGGGGGGGGCGGTAGCCGAGTGGCTAAGGCTGCTAAGGTTATCCGTCTGCTGGTAGTTGGTTATGCATATAATTATTTCAGACAAGCAAAATTGACCACTATATTCTATAAAGAAAACTAAATTCAAATAAAGCAATTAATAATCGTTACTGAACTTGCAATTATATTGCCAGGCATAGGATAGGGATAGGGATAAGAGAGGCGGTCACAAGGCCTACTGGCCAGCTTCAGGTTATTAACCAGCCTCCATAGCTTTGCCAGAGGTTCCTTGGTGTAGAATCTTGCTTGTGTTTTTCTTGTCCTAGTTGCAAGAACCTGCACCTACATAGATCTTCGCAGAAACATAAAATGTGTTCTGCGGTCTCCTCCTCTTCCTGACAGTAACTGCACAGTGTTTCTTTTGTCAGAGCTTTAGTGAAGATACACTTAGTTTTAATTATTAAAGCCACTATATTTCGTGGTCCTATTGACCAAATAACTTCTTTCAATTAATTAATCTTTATGTAAGGCATTGGTCGAAATGTAAAAGTTAGTGTCAGGAGCGGGATTCGAACCCATGACGCCGCTGCTCTACCACTTGAGCTATCGTGACTTCGACATAGTATATCTTCACTAAAGCTCTCCGTGGCCATTTCATTTGTCGTCGAGAATCGAATTCTGATTACATGACATTTGAAAAATGGCGAAAAGGAGGGACAATTCGAAAGTTAGGTTGAGATGGGAAATTGGTGTCCGAGTGGATCGAAGTCACGATAGCTCAAGTGGTAGAGCAGCGGCGTATTTAGCCGAAGGTCGTGGGTTTGAATCCTCATGACGCTAACTTTTTCTTTTCGATCCCAAATCAAGGTCGGACGAAAGTAACTTTAAAGGGAATGCCAATTAACATACACAAGAAAAATAAAACAAGTTCACCAGAGGTTAGACGAGAGGAGAGTATGGAGTTCTGGTCTGGAGTTGTAGAACTGTAGACGTACTGGGATTCAGAAATTGGATGTTAAAACAAAAGAAAAGATAAGTTAAACAATAGAAGAAAGAAGAAGTCAAAAACAAAAGAAGGACAAATTGATAACTGTGAAAGATCAAATAAATATATTAAAAATACATACCAACGTGGTAAATTCAGATTAAACAAAAATCAAAAACCATCGCGCCATTTTAAAGTTAAATTTCCGATCGCCATTTGCCCTGTCGTCAGTTTTTGGAGGTCCGATTGACTGGCTGTTCTGTATGCATCAAGTGAATCAGAATCGTAGACGGATTACCCCGACTTGGAATAGGACTTACGTGGTTTACTTACAGTCACGACGTTGCTCACATAAAAGAAGGGCGTAATTATTCGGCTCCTTATTGAAAACTATTTGTCATTATGAAAATTCCCGCAGCCTGTCAATCGGAACTCCAAAAACTGACGACAGGGCAAATGGCGATTGGAAATTTTTATTTATTTATTATTTTTTAAGGTTGTTCTGTGTTAAACGGATCGAGTGTATTTACTACACAGTTTGTATCGAATGTGTTGTATGAGAAAACAAACGTGTTATATTGACTATCCCATTTTCTAAGAAGATGAAAAAATAATGTTTGTAGATTGTCAGCGTTAATATACACTATGCATATATATTTTATCGTTATGTTATCTACAGCATACTTATTTTAACGGAAACGAAATTTAATGAGGTCAGAAATTCATGAGTTTTAATAAAAAATATTTAATTATGATGGTTTGAAAGAAAATTCTGCATAAGACCAGAAAATCTTTTAGTGATAGATTACAATTTACTTAACAATGCATTAATTCTATCACTAAATGATTTTCCGGTGTTTTGTTAAATTTTCTTTCAAACATCATAATTAAATATTTTTCATTAAAACTCATGAATTTTTTATCTTGTTTAATTTAGTTTGTTTCATAATTGTTGTTATTAACATAAGGTACATATAGTTTGATATTTAATATGAGTGTCTGGTTATTTCTGGCTTTGAGTAAATTTAGGTTAACATCTCCATTTAAGCAATCTAATTGCTGATAGCCCTTAATTTCAGACAGGGTGGAGAAGACCGAACCAACTCTGAACTTGGTCTGCCAACTATGCTGGAGACTTCTCAAGCTGTGAGTGAAGTCCAATTCCAAATATCAATGCACATATAAATAAATCAACAAATAAATAAAACAATATATTTTTTGGAATGATCTAGCTATTGAAAATCATTTTGCAAATTTCACACAAATAATTCACTGGTGATAATATTATTAAAGAAAATGATTTAAAAAAAAAGTTTTTATTATCAAAATAAAAGATGAGAGTATTGAAATTATTCGCTTGCCTTCTCTCATCAGCATATGGTATGGTTAAAGTTATTGGTACGACAAAGTGAATCGTCATAGTACATCACACGAGTAATATCATTAATATTATATAATATAATAGCTATTTATGTGACTATAGTACAGCAATTAATTCAATATTAATATTATATTGAATTAATTGCTGTACTATAGTCACATAAATAGCTTCAAGGAGTTGTCAAAGCATATCTATAATTCAAATTCTAATCATAGTTTTTAGTCAAAATAAAAGCTAACTTCACTTACCTCACTGATTGAGAATCACAATATCTGTTTAAACAAAAACATTAGTAATTTCACATTAAAAGCAATAAAGACTTTATGATGAATTTAAGAAGACATTTGTTATGACATAACACTGTATAAACATCATTAAATTGATACCTTCACTTGTAAAAAATAATTAAATATAAAAAATCAAACAAATCTTTTATTTATATTTTGGAGTGTTGGTATGATGAGTTAATCTCCATACAAATTATTGTTTAGTAAATTAAAACACCTATACTATTAACGTTAAAATATAAATATATTAGAATAAGAAAATGAAATTTGGGTAAAATAACAATACAAGATTCATATTTAAGAAAAAAAGATTTCTTTAATTTCAATATGTATTGAATTTCAAACACTATTCAAGTAATGTAATTGTTTTCACGGCACAATCATATTCCAATAGAATCATAATTTAGTCATAATGTTTTTAGTGTAAATATGCCTATATACATAATATTAATGATACAAATGTGTTTCTTGTTAAAATATAAAATTGAATTTACTGGGAACAAGGTATATCTTGATCAACCCTTTGATCATCATCCACTATTTTTTCTGCAACGGACAAAATTAAGTTTTCACTACCGTTATTGTAATATTGCTGTGGCACAAGTGGCAAAGATCTGGAATGTATAGTCTCATGTCTACGTAGACTTGACTTTGTTAAAAACGCTTTACCACATGTGCTACACACATGGCCCCGGTCCCCTGTATGAGTCAGTATGTGGTTTTTAAGATGGGATAGAGATTTGAATGTCTTGAGGCACTGCGAACAAGGATAGGGCCTGGCTTCGGTATGGCCAGCTCTGTGCCCAGAAAGGTAAAGTTCTGAGGAAAAAGATTTGCCACATATATCACAGCGGACACACTCTGATTGCTCCTCAGTCGTTTTTGGATGTGTCGCAATGTGCACTTCGAGGTCCTCAAAAGTGTCGAAGATGGCAGAGCAGATGACACAGTTCTTTAAGCCAGATCTGGCATGACTCGTGATGTGTTTTCTTAAATTTGAAGTATCACCGAACGCCAATCCGCAAAAATCACAAGAAAAAGGCCTTGAATTTGTGTGGGTTGCAAAGTGTCTTTTCAACTCCGAAGGTCTGGAAAAGAGTTTTGTACAGTAAGAGCAGTGGTACGTTTTTGCTTGTAGTTGGTGCCCTCCATCTTTCATATGAGTCGCTATGTGCTTTTTGAGATTTGACGTATCACAGAAGGCGAGGCCGCATACAGAACAAGCAAAAGGGCGAGTACCACTGTGAGTGAGAACATGCCTGCGCAAATCTGCCGGTCTAGTGAAAGGTTTGTTACAAACTTCACAAGGGTACGATTTGAGGCCAGGCCTAGAAGCCAGTCTCAGACCTGAGTGTACCCTGTTATGGCGCACCAACTCACTCGGCTTGCTGAAAGACTTTCCACACGTATCGCATTTGTGAGGGAGGTCTCCGGAATGCTTCATCAGATGTATTCTGAGGTTGTAGGCCGAGCTGAGGCCTCCCCCACAGATATGGCAGATGAATTTGGAGGAGCAATTGTGCCGAGACGGCTCAAACAGTTCAAAAGTCTTATGGCACTCCTGACACTGGAGCTCTTTGCCCTCCTCGTCAGTTTCACTCGCAGGCCTAGACGAATCCGCACAATGAATAAACGTATGCTTCTGGAGGAGGAAAGTCGTCGGAAAATTCTGGTTGCAATAAGCGCACTGATACCCCTCGCAATGACAATCCTGCATTGAGCAGACCCGACACGTCGGTCTCTTATCCGCCGTTTCTATTAATTTCAAACAATCCAAGCATGAATCGTGGGGTGATAAGAATCCGTGCTGGTCATAAAAATCCTGACACCGTCTACAGAGGCCGGCCGGCTTAATCGAGTCAATCGATACGTTCATTTCCCGTTTTACTTCTCTTTCGTCTTCGTTGTATACAGGTTTCACGTACTCCTCCATGTGAAGAAAGCTGAGGGGAAGACCTAACATTTCAAAGCGACTTTGAAGCCTTGAAGATCTCTAAAAATCCCCCCGGGATAGTAATCAAATTCATTATTATGAAACGTACATTATTTTGGAGATTTTACGCTTTCTTCTGTGCTTTCGGTCCATCTTTTTTGGGTCGTTAGCAGTCGTCATCCGAGATCGAAATCTAGTACTGTTTAGGGGCGAGTGGTCTTAATTGTTGATTTTTCCTCCTAGGCACGTAAAAGGCCATAAATTGTACCAAAAAGTTTCTCAAAACGAACTGAAAAATAGTTTCAAACACTAAACACAACCCGTACAAAGAACTTCGATGTAAACAAACGGAGATGAGAAGGTAGTGAACGTAAGTCAAAATGGGCGCTTTCAAGCGGAACTAACCCAAACCAACATAGACGGGTACTCTAATATAAACTAAAATAAAATTCTTTAATCTATATAAATTGTACTTAATTTTCATCTTAATGAGATTTATATCAGTTTTAATAATTATATGTAGAAGATCAGGCTAATGAGTTGGAAAAGACAAACATTAGTACGTATGTGTAGAGATTAGTGACCGTTAATCGATAGTTATTCAGATATCATGAGATCACGATTAGTACCTTTGTCAAGCTTTCCACTATCGCATTCCCCGGGACGAACAATATCTAAAATAAGGTTTAATAAAATTATTATGAATTTTGCTTATTAGAAATTATTAACACACTTACACACAAGACAATCAGAGAGAGGGAGGGGAGAGAGAGAGAGANAGAGAGAGAGAGAGAGAGAGAGAGAGAGAGAGAGAGAGAGAGAGAGAGAGAGAGAGAGAGAGAGAGAGAGAGAGGGAGAGAGAGAGTGAGAGAGAAAGACTTCGATCCACTCGGACACTTCCCATCTCAACCTCTCCTTGGTCAAGCGGACCATGAAAACTAGTAAATTTAAAATTTAAATGAAGTATACCTTCACTAAAGGTGAAGGCAATTTCCTTTGTCGCCGAGAATCAAATAGATTACGCGACATTTGAGAAATGGCAAAAAAGGATCGAAAATTCAATAGGTGAGGTTGAGATGGGAAGTTGGTGTCCGAGTGGTTCGAACTCACAATAGCTCAAGTGGTAGAGCATCGGTGTATTTAGCCGATGGTCGTGGGTTCGAATCCCGCTCGTGGCACTAACTTTTTCATTCATTTTTGAACCAAAAGCTTACATAAAGATTAATTAATTGTATTGCAGCTAGCGCCAAGGTTCTTCAACCAAAGGGAAAAAAACAATAGAGAGTGAGCCCTTGAGAGTGAGTGTGGATACGGGGCGGTGTCTGCGCCTAGTCTGCAGCCAGCACTTTTTCAAAAAACAGGAAGATGTTCGACATGTCGCATGAGTTGTCTCCAGGCCTGGGCAGTGGGCTAGCTCTGCCGTCCCCGCTTCGTTCCTCCACGATCCCCTCTCTCGCTTCGGCGGTTTGCTCGATCCTCATTGCGCGGGTTGTTCGTGATAATTGAAAGACGTTATTTGGTCAATCGGACCTCGAAATATAATGGCTTTAATTTAGTGTTGAGTGCTTTATCTACTTCTTAAGAAATATATTCGCTATTATTTTATTTTAAATGTGTGGTGTTTAGTGACCGTTAGTTGATGATTATTTGGAGATCGTGAGATGTGGTCTAGTGTGACGTAGGCTTTAGAAAAACATTTTCTTTATTGTGCCAACGTTCGGAACTTTATTGAGATCATCTTCAGATAATAGAGATAGAAACGTTGGCACGATAAAGAAAATGTTTTTCTAAAACCTACGTCACACCAGACCGCAACTCACGATCTGCAGATAGTCATTAAGTAACAATCACTAAACACCACCCATTTCTAAACGAGAAGAATAAAGAATATGGGATTCTATAAACGGATTTCAACTACATATGGACACCAAGCAAAGAGTAATCTGAAGGACATCGCCAACAATGAGAAGAAATGTGTAGAGATTAGTGACCGTTAATCGATAGTTATTCAGATAACGACCGCATCTCACGATACCTGAATAACAATGAGAAGAAACTTGCATCGGATATCAATCAGAGAATTTATTTTAGGATTAATAGATGACAATCACACAACACATACAATATATATATGCGAACGGTTGTAGGTTGAGATGGAGAGTTGGCGTACGAGTGGATCGAGGTCACGATAGCTCAAGTGGTAGAGCAGCGGCGTATTTAGCCGAAGTTCGTGGGTTCGAACCCCGCTTGTGACACTGACTTGTTTATCTCAACCAATACCTTAAATACTGATTTAATTATAACATTAAACTAGATCAGGACAAACTGTAAATACTAATAATGTAAATACAATTTTAACAGAATTACAGAAAAAATACATCTTTCCCAACCAGCTAAAATTATGGATTATATAATTAGTCAAAGAACATCTGAGCTATTTATGACCATTGGGTTCCCTGCAGAGGATATATTTAATTTAGTTTAGCCTACTATTTTTATATACTTGCGTTATGGGGTTTTTAATGTATGATTTACTTTTGTCAAAGCTTATTTCGAAAAGTTGATATAAATCAACTGAGCATAAATTAATTATGGTGAAATGTCTACCAGTTCAACAAATAACATTGTACGGATACTTTAGAAAGACAATCAACCATACTAAAAATCTCTTTGCAATAAAAGTTTATCTCAAGTATAATTTGTTTTTCTGCAATCACGGTTAAAAGCGACTTGTGTACTTCGCAACATTCAGATGAAAAGGTTTATGACTTTAAAACTTCGAGAAGACGAGGCCTGCGGGAGAAAAAGGAAATATCTCGGATTAAAGAGAAGATAAGTTTTTCCAATTAAAGTCTCCTCCTCCGGACAAACTGTAACGTAAATTAGGTTAGAAAGAATAAGCAAGAAGTTGTGGATTTTATCTTCACTTAAAATGATGCATTGCTCTATTCACAGCTTGGGTCTCGTTTAAAATTATCGCTCGTGGTTTGTTAAGGTTCACAAATTAATTTTCCAAAGTTATTTCGAGTGTTGAAAAGAGGAAAAGTACTAAAATATCTCAGAATGAAATTACCGAACAGCATCTTTATTAAATTTCCCACTGTCCTCCAGTTAAAACTGTGAGGCTTTCTGTGTTAGTAAAAGGGACGGACATGCGGAGACCCTTGAGGATTATTCCATTCTGGCTTTCCATGAATTATAAAGGAGTCTTTTTGATCAAATATTTCCATTTAGGTTCTGCAGACTGATTGTGTTTGACTGAATGTTTTAGGTCCCCAGCAGCCCACGTGTCACACACAGTGGATAATCTCGCTTTGTCCCACACCGGCTGCAATCAAGAACTAACAATAGATCTTCATCTGTGCTCTCTACCCTCCTGATACGAACTATCCATATGCTCTTGCAATAAACCATAAATACTAAGTAATCATTGCGTTGGAATGAACTAATCACTTAGGTAATTATTGAGAGATTCTCTCTTGGTGTCTGCGAGAAGAAGAACCTGCAGGTTGATCGCCTCCGATCATTCTGGTCTGCATATCTTCGATGTTTTGATTCGCCAAATGTGTTTCGACTTAGGTTTCTGTGATTCTGGCTTAGGTCTGCTTTATAAGTTTGTGAATGACGGAAGGAATATCTGGAAGGTGCCTGGCTGTGGTTTTGACAGATTCAGCCTTTCTTTAGGTGATCGTCGGTTTTATTCATCTTTAATTCATAATGTATTAAATGGTGTGAATTATGTGTTGTGTACCTGCGTGCATGTGTGAATGTGTTAACATATACATATTAAATCCATTATATTTCGTATTAAATCCATTATACTATCACCTTAAATACCTCCTCCTTCCAATTGAATATTGCAGTTGTGTGTTGTCCTCCTAACCAAGATTTGTCACAACACGAATTCCTATCTTTTCTCCGATCACTTGGACCTCATTTCATTGCTGGGGGTGACTTCAACGCCAAGCACCCACAGTGGGGTTGCCGTGTTTCTAACCCACGTTCTAACCCCCAACTTCCTTAACTCTTTATCCTCAACCACTTACACTGTTATTACACCTCCAAACCCAACGTACTGGCCAACATCTACTCGTAAACTTCCTGATATATTAGATTATTTTATAACATCCGGAATCTCTTCATCCTATTAAATTTTAAATTCATTTGATTTTTCTTCTGATCATAGCCCAGTTCAATTAATCATAAATTCTGCCCCTTTCATTGTAACAAAACATCCTTGCCTAATAACTGGACCTACAGATTGGAAAAATTTCCAAACAATAATATACAAAAATGTTAACCTACACACATCTCTAAAAACTGCAGAAAAAATTGACAAAGCTGTAGACGATTTTACAAACTTAATACAGCATGCAGCATGGGTGTCAACCTTCATACCAGCACCTCGAAATAATCAACAGTTACTATTACCTCCACATATTCGGCTACTTCTAACTGAAAAGCGAAGGGCCAGGGCAATCTGGCAGCGTAACAGATATCCGAGTGACCACCGACGGATGAACCAACTCGCGAGAAACCTGAAACAAGAACTGGCCAAACTTAGGGCTGAAATGTACAAACCATATACTACTTCACTTTCCAAAACAGACAAGTCTTTGTGGTAATGCATCCGTAAGATCCTGCGATATAAGGACCACACGCCTCCTATCCGTAGTAACAACGCTTGGGCAAAATCCAATTCCGAAATTGCTAAATTGTTTTCAGAGCATCTTTCCACAATTTTCACTGCACACCATGACCATGACCATCAGCTTAACATTGAACACGACTTGAATGTCCCCTTGCAACTCTCCATATATATATTTTCCATTGCAATGGAAGTTATCTATAATTAAAATGATTCATAAGCCAAATAAACCTTCTGATCTTCCAAATTCTTATCGAACCATTAGTCTCCTTTCCTTGCCAAAATTCTAGAAAAACTACTTCTCCGACGATTACTGCCAATAATTGAAAATTCTAATATTACTCCAGATCATCAGTTTGGGTTCCGCACATTTCACTCGACAACTCAACAATTACATCGTGTTGCTGACAATATAGCCTCTTCCCTAGAACAAAAACATCATTGCTGGGGTGTTTTTCTTGATTTAGAACAGGCCTTCGATCGAGTCTGGCACTCGGGCTTGCTTTGGAAACTGAGGAACATCCTCCCTCATACGTACTATCTTATACTGAGATCTNATATATATATTTCGTGGTCCGATTGACCAAATAACTTCTTTTCATTAATTAATCTTTATGTAAGTTATTGGTTGAAATGAAAAAGTTAGTGTCACGAGCGGGATTCGAACCCACGACCTTCGGCTAAATTCGCCGCTGCTCTACCACTTGAGCAAGCA